CAGAATAAAATGAGACTAAATTTTCTTAAGTGTAAGAAAAAGATTAAATTCAATTCTTAATAAATAATTTTAAGAGACAAGTCTTTACTTTTATTAACATCGGAATTGAAATAAATTATTATTTTTATTTATTTTAAAAATAATACAATAAAAGTGAAAAAAGAAAGCATAATTAACTTGTGGAATGTTTTAAATTATTTTTTTTCTTGCTACGATGGGCAATGGATCGGCGATATTCTGAACATAATGAGTTTTCTTATGTTTCAGGATAAGACTCGGCTTTACGGAAAGGCGACAAATAGGGCATGTGACAGTTGCTCTGTTAGGATTTTTGAAACATTCGCCTTCATGCTTTTCTATTCCTCTTTCGGTTGTTAAAGAATGTGAACAGAATCGGCAATGGGACTTAAATTTTTGAGCTTTAAGTTCACGATTATTTTCACGAAGAACATGTCGAGCCTTTTTTTGTATTTCAGTCTGTTCTTTCTCAATGCGAGTTGTTTTCATGCTCTCGATGTGCTCAAGTGAAGTGATAACATCAGCTGTTCGCTTTGTGTTTCGTTTAAACGAGCGACACGGTGTCGGTGGAACGACAAGGGCGAAAGCTGGAACTTCTTCAGCAGCTGCTGGTGATGTCGGTGGAGTTTCTTCTAGGAATTCTTCTTCAGCTGCTGGTGGTTGTAGCAAGAATTCTTCTTCAGCTGCTGGTGGTTGTAGCAAGAATTTTTCTTCAGCTGCTGGTGGTTGTAGCAAGAATTCTTCTTCAGCTGCTGGTGGGGATGGTGGTAACATATTTCGGCAGAGATGCCCCAGAAGATCAATTTTCTGTTCATCCGTGAATTTGTTCGAAACTACCATCTCTGCTGTTTCAAAGTCTAAAACATCAGGATATAAATAAGACGTTTCAACGCTTGCTGTGGTATCTTCACTATTGTCCTCTAATGAAATTCCAGATTCATCATTGTGTGCCACTTTTCCAAGGCACTTTAAATAATCTGGAGCCTCTTTATTGAATGGAAAAATGCCACACGTCCTAAAAGCATTCTTAATAATTTCTGATCCAAGTCGGTTGAAAGCTCGTAAGAAGACTGAAGCGAAATCAGATTTGCTTACACACTGAGTAGTGTTCTGAACGCTCAAATTACGAAGCTCCTCTCTCCAGTATAGTTTCAGCGGTTTGAAACATCCCACATCTGCAGGCTGAAGTAAGAATGTAGAGTTGGGATACAGACAAATGAGTTCTATTCCTAATTTCTTTGCTGTTTCACAACCTTCTAGTGTCATATGACTGGGATGTCTATCCAAGAAGAGCAGAATTTTTTCAGCAGGCATTTTTATTCCTGTTACAACATTAAAAACATCAAATGAACATGAGCTAAGTAGAATGAAAATTAAAATCGTAGTGAAAAATCATTTAAGCATTAAGGCTCTATGATGGGATTTCTCTTCCTTATCATTATCAAGATGTGAAATCATTGAGTTTCTTTATCTTAAAGAAAGTAACATAAGTAACAGAAAAAAGAAGAAAATTTATGAAACATAAATTAATGAATAGTTTTTTAGATCAGCTTTGATTAAAATCATATTGTTGGTTTGTCTCTTATATCTCATTTCTGTGAAAACAAAAGTTGAAATATGTGCAACAAAAGGTTTGAGTTCAATTTTAAACGACGATTTTAGGAGAAATAAATTATTTGAAGTGGGTAAAAATTATCATGGGTACATTACTTTAACTGCAAAATATGTAAGTCAAACGGAGGCTCGAGATTATTTACAAAATTGTCATCTGTCCTGAAATGATTTCAGATTTGTGTATTTGGGACTATTGCAAACATCTTAAACATCATTATACTGACAAGGAAGGAAATGTCAAAAACAATAATAGTAAGAGATTTCTTACCTTTACTAATTGCTTCATCAGCCAGGCACTCTAGATAGCAACAAAAAGCCGTTGAGTCCATCCAACCGTTCGTAGTTCCAACTTTGTAAGCCTGATTACTAGGAAACTTCTCCTCAACTTCTCTTGGGAAGCGAGTGTATGGATAAATAATGAAAGGCTTACACAATGAGCCGTCAGCACGAAAGGTCCCCATCACGGTTAATCCAGCTTTTTCATCTTTGACTTGTTGATAAACATATTTGGTACCTATTGCCGCTACAACTTTTCCAGCCGTTCTGTTGATCTTAAAGAAAGTTTCGTCAGCATTATAAACTCTGGTGTTATCGTGCAGCAGCTCCATCAGGCCTTCATTTAATATGTATGTGTGGACGCGTTCGAACCATCCATAAATGTCTGGTCTTGTTAAGTTGGTCGATGCTTTTCCAAGTTTTTCTGGTGTCCTTTGTGCAAGACTATGTCTTTTGCAGAACAAAAGAAACCTAAATAAGACAATATTGTGAAACTGTGACGAAAAGGAATGGTTTTGCAAAAAATAAATGTTAATCAGCCTACTTTACATTCTAGAATAGCTTAAATTTACTTTTTCCAATGTTTATATTGATAACAAAATGGATCAATGAAATAGTCACAAAAAAAAGAAAAATGTTCTTGCAGTGTCTAATGTAAAGACAAATTAAGTCAATTGCCTTTTCGTTTTGGTATGAAATTTTCTCAAGTGACTAAATCAATACATATGTAAGGGAATATCTCTTGAATTTGTAAATAAAATTAATCCCAATTAAGATTAAACTTAAAATCTAATAGCTTCAGGTAATTAATTAATATCAGTGTGATCCCGATACAAGAATGCGAATAAAATTAAATTCTTCTTAATTTTATAAATCGAGAAATAGCTTTGGGTTTAAGAAACGTAAAGTTGCCTGAGAAAAGTTCTTACAAACTAAACCGATAGTACTCTATTTTACCATCAACGCTCTTCCTCCTGCTTTAACACAGCTAACACTTTTGATTCAAAATAAATCTACCGATAATGAATAAATATTTTTATGCTCACCACGTGTATCCTAGTTTTGCAGCTTCATTACCGACACGTTCCTTCAACAAGCCATGAGCCGCGTCTGTAACATCTCTCCACTCCCGAGGGAAACCCTTTGAAAGGCATGCTAGAATCCAATCACAGAGACGACTTTCTTCTTCCTCCGTTAAAATTGTTTTTCTTGTCGTTTCTGGATTTTTCTTGTAGCGAGATAGGGCCATATGATTTAAGTTGTATTTCCCAGACCCTTTTCGTAGAGATAAACCATTGTTGTGGTCTCTTAAAGCCATATCTAGAGGCGATAACGCTCGATCTTCTTGCAATTCACTGGAATTAAAATCATTATTAATTTTGTTTAAATCAACAAGTAAAAATCTTCCGACTGAAAGCCAAACCTATTTCATTTTAGGTACTTACATGTCCCCTCCATCCATTATTTGACTTTAATTAAGTTTTTGTTTCTTATTTGAACTTTTATTTTTGTTTTTAATTTTAAAATGTTCAGAACTTTTATTTTCAATTTTTTTCATTTAAAATGTAAACAAACTTTTTTGCGTCTTTGAATGTTAGCATTTTAATAAGTATCGAGTAAGTTTTTTGCATTTGGCGGTTTGTCCCTTATCACTTTCTTATGTTTTTTAGAGGTAGTAATAATGCAAAGCTATTTATTACTACCAGAATGATAATCCAGCCAAACATAAAAAGCAAAGTGAAAGCTGAAACATAAAGCTATCACTTCGACGTATTCCCAGTATAGCTTTTAAAATAAAAACAGGCTAAAAATTGACTTTAGTGAAAACTGTAACACACTAACGACGATTTCGTGCCTGTAACAGACTAACCATTTACCCAATTTTAGTTCACTCGATCAACTACTTTTGATAAATTCTAGCAAAATTTCTTATATTTATATTCAAAGATTCTCTTATTTCACATTTTCATTAGATGAACAGATAGATAATTAATATAATTAACAAAAACTAAACTTTTAAAGTAATCTGTATAATATTCAGGATGGAATGATTCATGAGAATAAG